CCCGGGGCTGTGGGGACCTGGGGACTCTTGCCCCCCCCACACTTTCCAAAATGCATTAACCCACACCCCTGACCCCACGCTGGGGCAGGTCCCCAGTGTGCAAGCTCAGTGTTCATGGTGAAGGGAATTGGAATGTTTTCTGGGGTTCTTTTATAAAAATGTAGCATATTTGAGGGAGGCAGTGAGCGTCTCCCCACCCCTCCCCTGCCTAAATCTGTCTCCTGGAATCTTAAGTGCTGTGAATAATAGGCCTTCACTGCCCCCTCCCAATTTTTCCTGGAGGTAGAGGTTCTAGTGTCTGGTGGTGACTGGAGCCTGCCTAGAGGGGGAATCCTGGTGCTCAATTTCCCTCCAAAAGCAAGTAGCCAAAGCCATTGCCAAACCCCTTCCCCAAGCCAATGGGCCCTTTATTTATGACGACTTTATTTATTCTAATAAGATTTTATAGTATTTATATATATTGGGTCGTCTGCTTCCCTTGTTATTTTTCTTCTTTTTGTAATATTGGAAACGACGGTGTAATTATTGTAAGTGCCATAATATATTAAGTAATATATATATTGTTATCTTAAAAGTCTATTTTTGTGTTTTTTGGAATTTTTAAATAAAAGAACTCTGCCTGTAAACTGAAATCCTGGCTATTCCGCTGTCTAGAGGCAGAAAAGTGGAAAGAATTGTGGGGCTTTTTTAAAACGAGATAAGTCAACTGATAGCCGCCCTAAACCTTCCGCGAGCAGAGCCGCCTGGCGGCGCTTACCTGGCAGGAAGTGACGTCACCGGGCCCGCTGTTCACCTGAGAAGGCGGGGCCAGGTGAGGTCACCGGGCAGGAACCGGGAGAGCCAGTTCCCGGGGCGTGGGGGGGCACAGCGCTGGCGTCCTGTTGGGCTCCTTGACCCAGCTCGCGGGAGGGCCGGGACGGGATGTTTCCGAACCCACGGGGCCGAGGGAGGCGGGAGGGGCGGGGTGAGGAGGACGGAATGTGCCGGGGCGCGAGCCCAGGGCCGGCGGGCGCTACAGGGGCATGTTGGGGCAGGGAGCTTTAAAGTTTCCAGATTCCGGAATCTCTGCATTTTGGAATGTCAGTATACCTGTCTCGGCGACTGGGGGATCTAGACCCTACGCCCCCAGAACGCCAGGCTTCCGGGACCTGGGACCTTGTCCGGATTCGAGAAGCTCGGGATGACAGGATCTGGCCGTTTCGGGACCGTGGCAGCTCGCGGGCTCGACTCCAGTCGGGGTCGGCCTCGCAGGGCCGGTGTGTGGGGGTCGTGGCCGCGCGTCCGGGAGGGGCCCCGGAGGAGCCGCGTCCTCGGACCATACAAGGCAAGAGGCGCCCGGAGCCCCTCCCGGGCCGGGGGCGG